TTTCCATTTCAGCACTGAATGTTTTTTTTCCGTGTTTCAAGGCAAGCTGACTGATACCTCGCTGCTGCCTTTGTTGTTCACGTTCTTGGTGACCTTATTTGATTTGATTTGATTTATTGTAGTTACATGTACCTAAGTACAGTGAAAAGCTTTGTTTTGTGAGCAGTACAGGCAGATCATGGCAAACAAGGACATAGAGATCAAAAGGTGCTTGGAGAGAGGCATACAGGTTACACTGCACAGCAGATTGCCAAAGCAAGATCAACATTCAGCAGTCTAATAACAGCGGGGAAGAAGCTGTTCTTGAACCTGTTGGTGCGTGTGTTCAAGCTTCTGTATCTGCTGCCTGACAGAAGAGGCCTTTGTCTAAGTTCAGTCAATTAAAAAGGAGAGGCGTCACATACCACCGCGCACACAAAATAACACTTTAAAGAAATTAGGTTGGTGATTATGTTGACAGGACTGGTTCAGCATTTCATCTGCAGCCAACTAAACTTTTCAGGTGAAACTAAAATTGCCTTGACTGCACCTTTCATCACGTTGACAAGGTATCATTGACTTAATCAAAAGAGTTCAGCTTGATAGAAAAAGAATAAACTTATGCTGGTCTCATGCTTTTCTTAGTATGTCTCAAAATGCTTCACATTCCAGTGAAGTACATTTATAAAGTCATTGAATTATACAGTACAGAAACAGATCCTTTGGCCCAACTTGTTGATGCGGACCAGATATCCCATTTGCCAGCATTTGCCCCTCATGCATCTAGCCCCTTCCTATTCATACACCCATCCAGATGCCTTTTAAATGTTCTAGTCGTACAGGCCTCCACCACCACCTCCTACAGTTTGTTCCCTACACGCACCACCCTCTGCGTGACCCCTCAGGTCCCTTTTAAGTCTTGCCCTGTCACTTTAAAGCTATGTCCTCTTGTTTTGGACTCCACAACCCTGGAAAAAAGACCTTGGCTATTCACCCAATCCATGCCTTTCATGATTTTGTAAACCTCGATAAGATGACCCCTCAGCCTCCGATGCTCCAGGGAAAATAGCCCCAGTCTCTTCAGCCTCTCCCTATAGCTCAAACCCTCCGACCCTGGCAGCATCCTTGTAAGTCTTTTCTGACCTCTTTCAACTTTAACATCCTTACTATAGCAACGAGACCAGAATTGAACGCCACATTCAAAAAGTGACCTCACCAATGTCCTGTACAGCCACAACATGACATCCCAACTCCGATACTCAATGCACTGATCAATGAAGGCAAGCATGCCAAATGCCAGCTTCGCCACCCTGTCTACCTGTGACTCCACTTTCAAAGAACTGTGCACCTGCACCCCTCAGTCTCTTTGTTCAACAGTAGTCCCCAGGGCTCTAACATTAAGTGTACAAGTCCTGTCCTGGTTTGCCTTACCAAAATGCATCTGCCTCTCCTTGGCCCATTAGCCCATCTGATCAAGGTCCCAAAGAACTCTGGGATAACCTTCTTCCCTGTTCACTACACCAATTTTGGTGTCATCTGTAAATTTATTAACCATACCTCTTATAGTCACATCCATATCATTTATCTAAACAATGAAATGCAACTCACTACCACTACCCTCTGTCACCTAACTTCAAGCTATTTTGTATCGAATTGGCTAGCTCCCCCTGGATTCCATGTGATCTAACCTTGCTAACCAGTTTACCATGAGGAACCTCACTGAATGCCTTACTGAAGTCCATATAGACAATGTCTACTGCTCAACCTTCATGAATCTTCTTTGTCACTTCTTCAAAAAGCTCAGTTCGTGACAAATGACTGCACCTCCCAGTCGTGAACCACTTCAACTCCTCCTCCCACTCCTTGGACGACATGTCCATCCTGGGCCTCCTCCAGTGCCACAACGATGCCACCCAAAAACTGGAGGAACAGCACCTCATATTTCGCCTGGGAACCCTACAACCCAATGGTCTCAATATGGACTTTACAAGCTTCAAAATCTCCCTACCCTTGATCTCATCCTAAGACCAGCTCCCCCACTCGTCCCCACCTCCTTGACTTGTCCGTCTTTTCTCCCACCTATCTGCTCCTCCCACCTCACTGACCAACCCACACCCCCACTTCCCTCACCTCTACTAGCCTCATCACCACCTCCTTGACCTGTCCGTCCTCGCTCCACCTATCTGCTCCACTATCCACCTTCTATCACTGCCTCGCCCTCTCTCTATTTATTTCAGAGCCCCCTTCCCCTCCGCCATTTCTGAAGAAGGATCCAGACCCGAAATGTCAACTTTCCTGCTCCTCTGATGCTACCTGGCCTGCTGTGTTCATCCAGCTCCACACCTTGTTAACAAAAAAGACAGTTGTGGGGTCAGGTAGCGAAACAGTGATAGGGTTAGAAACAAGAGATTGGAGTTTACATTTTCTTGGCACCGTAAGAAAGGTTGAATGGAACGGGAGTGGTCCATTTGCAGTCAGAACATCAAGTTGAGCATGGGGAGTGCAGGTGGGAATCTGTGCGGCAGTGGGGTTATGCTATGAGGTCCATCACAGCTACAACCATAAAGGACCACTGCTCCCTGAGTTTCTATTTCTTATTGGCGATGCCAAATAATTACGAAACATGGTTCAAAATGCAGGCGGCCTACAGCAGTGGAACCTGCTTCAGCGTCCTGCCATGTAGTTAGGTGGCATGATTTTTCTTCTGCATTTTTAAAAAAAAAACTGCTCCCAAACACTCTTCCATCCACTGCCCAAATAATGTGGAGGGCAACAAGTAATTCCATTTCTTCTTTAAATAAACTTAATCGCTTCTTCATCGGAGATTCTAAACTGGTTGGAGGGATTCTGATTTAAGCCACCCACACACATTGAATGCTAGCCAATCCATGGGAATTCCGCTTTTGTTTACATTTACGTGGGGAAACGGCCCACCCGATTATATGACCCTAAAACCCATTGCTGTTGTAATCTCGTATCAGTTAGCCCAGTAGGAGTAGGACTGTGGCATTAGTCAGTCACACAGCAATGTGACTATCCATTCTATTAGTCAGCCACAACTTAAGGGATTGCACCATCACATCTGGCCAAGCAGCATCAGAGGGGCAGGAAGGCTGATGTTTCGGGCCTAGACCCTTCTTCTGAAGAACATAGAACATAGAACATTACAGTGCAGTACAGGCCCTTCGGCCCTCGATGTTGTGCCGACCTGTGAAACCAATCTGAAGCCCATCTAACCTAAACTATTCCATTATCATCCATATGTTTATCCAATGACCATTTAAATGCCCTTAAAGTTGGCGAGTCTACTATTTTTGCAGGCAGGGCATTCCACGCCCTTACTACTCTCTGAGTAAAGAACCTACCTCTGACATCTGTCCTATATCTATCACCCCTCAATTTAAAGCTATGTCCCCTCGTGCTAGCCATCACCATCCGAGGAAAAAGGCTCCCACTGTCCACCCTATCTAAGAAGGGTCTAGGCCCGAAACGTCAGCCTTCCTGCTCTTCTGATGCTGCTTGGCCTGCTGTGTTCATCCAGCTCTACACCTTGTTATCTCAGATTCTCCAGCATCCGCAGTTCCTACTATCTCTGCACCATCACATCTGTCCGTTAGCTATATAGGTTGCAGCAGTATTGAAGGAATTAGACAGAAACTAGGAGGGTGCATCAAAAGGGGACAATCGGCTATACAGTCACAGGGCACAATTATCAAGGGTCAGTCAATTATGCAAATAGGGATGCATTGTCATGTAGCAGCCATTCATACACAAATAGAGATGCTCTAATCTGGTGTAAGACACATAATTATGTGCACAATTAGTCACAAAGTAACAGAGCTGTATAACCATGGGAAACACATAATAGGCCTGTGCTTCCATAGAGACTACAAAACCATCAAGGAAATCTTGTTCTCTGATCAACATCAAATATATTTCTGCAGTTCAGCAGTCGAAAAATCAGTGTCTTTGGTCCATTCTACCTGTGCCAGCTCTTCAGATGACCTGCCCAGTTGATGCCAATCCTCTTCTTCCTCTTTACTCCTCTTATATTTGCCACTTGAGATACATCAATGAAGAACTTTTTTTGAGACAGAATAAATGGTGCGAAAACACAGGAGGTTTACAATTTTTTTTCAATGAGCTCTGTGTCGGTTATTCTTCCCACCCCTAGGGTGGCACAGTGGTTAGCACTGCTGCCTCACAGCACCAGGGACCTGGATTTGATCCCACCCTTAGCAACTGTCTGTATGGAGTTTGCACAGTCTCGCTGTGTCTGTGCGGGTATTCTCCAGGTGCTCCGGTTTCCTCCCACAGTTCAGGGATTTGCAGGCTAGGTGAATTAGCTATGGGAAATGCAGGGTGACAGGAATAGGGTAGGGGTTTGGGTCGAGGTGAGATGCTTTTTGTAGGATCTGTATGGACTCGATGGACCCCGAATGGCCTGTTTCCACACAGTAGGGATTCTATGATTCTATACCCTGTTCATTACAGGTAATACCATAAGATATAGGAGCAGAATTAGGCTATTTGGCCCATCAATTTTGCTTTGCCATTTGATCATGGCCGATATGTCTCACAACCCCATTCTTGTGTCTTCTCCTCGTATCCCTTGATGCCCTGATAGCTATTCATACACTCTTTTTGTCTAATACTTAAATATTTATCTTGCCATGACTCTTTCATTCTGATACGCTCCTGCCATTTAACATCATGCACTCTCCACTTAACAATTTGATGTTTCATTTCACATTTCCCTTTCAGCTTTGCTGGAGTTCTGTCCCATGGTAATAGGCTGACTGTGGTTTTGCTTGCTTGAAGTAAAATGCTCCCTGTGTACCCTGGGTTGTGAATTTGTTTGACTTCTCGGGAATTGAAAAGACTCAGTCGAGCAGGAAGGGTTGTTTTGACAGCAGCAGTTTTATCCCAAGATTAATCAGTTAGTATCCAACTGAGCAGGCTGCTCACTCTGTACTTCCTGTGTTTGCTGTGTTAGATTCACTGCAAGCTTCTCCTTCCAGGCCCAGGCCAGCAGCGAACTGGAGGACCAACTGAGGTCAGCATCCAGTGTCACAGAGCTGATGGACATTTTCTATCCAGAATACAGGAAGATCCACGAATGTCTGCAAAGGAGAATTCACATGGTCCAGCGGGAAATGACAGAGGCTGAAGAAAAGGAGTGGAAGGAGGCAGCAGCATTTACACTATCGTGGCAAGATGAAGATATAAAAAGTGAGCAACATTAATGCTTCGTTTGTTGTTGGGTGCTGAACAAAAAAAAATTTAAGTAAATTTGTTGCATATTTTGCACATTTATATGGTCTATATCAAACTCAGGATCACCCAGAAGTTGCCAATAAAATACTTCTGCAGTACTGTCACCGTTGTAATGCAGAGAAAAGCCCAAATTTTCCGAAGGCCAGACAGTCACTATTCCAGCATTGGTGGAAGTTACACATGGGACTCTGCGGAATCCCCCTTGTAGCACAGTCCAAAGGCATTACCCAACAAATTGTAATTTCTGCTGGGCTATTGCCCTGTGCCTTCCATCCACAAAAGGCATCATTTAAATCGGAGACTTTGGATAGTTTAGATGAACTGAAGTAGAACAGTTACTCAGGAAAAGTTAGACAATTAAGTATAACGTCTAACCCCTGGTTAAATTTTTAAAATTCATTCATGGAACGAGGGTGTAACTGGCTAGGCAGCATTTATTGCCCATTCCTAATTTCCACGAAGGCGGTTAAGACCAACCACATTGCTGTGGGTCTGGAGTCACATGTAGGCCGACCAGGTAAGGATGGCAGTTTCCTTCCCTAAAAGACCTCAGTGAAGCAGATGGGTTTTTCCAACAATCGATTCATAGTCAGCATTTGACTCTTAATTTTGGATCTTTATTGAATTCAAATTCCACCATCTGCTGTAGCAGGATTTGAACCCAGGTCACCATTACATCACTTAGGTCTCTGGATTAACAGTCTAGCAATACTACCACTAGGTCAATGCCTCTCCAAATACTCAACACACCTTGTACTTACTTCACTCACCCCCAGCTACATCTCCACCCAAACACATGTAACACACAGACCATGTCCCGACATTTTTTCTCACCCCAGCCCCTTCTCCTCCCACTAATGTCGGACCTGAAATGACCAGGTCCAACATCCAGCATTTAACCCACACTCCAGTAGACCCAACTTCTGCCATCCTCCCCAAACTGCCTGAAACACTGCACTGCTTGCCTTACACCCTGGCACCTCACCACTAGGCACAGTTACCCACTTACAACTTGTCACCCTACATAACTGGCCCCCTACTTATCTGGCATCCTACTCTAAGTGTTCAAATCTACGTGTTAAGTAGGAAAGATTTTGGAATTCGTCTGCAAATCAGCTATGATCTTAATGAATGCTGAGAGAGCTCAAGAGGGGAAACGGCCAGTTCCTATTCCTATACTACAATATGTTAATATGCACCTTCACAGAGTGTGGAAATGTCATTAGCCAGGTTCATGTCCTTCCCACTGCTGTCAGTTCCTCACATAGCAGGTTATGTGCAGCTCATGCTGGCAGGAACAGTATAAATGCAAGTTGCTCTCTCTTAAATCTGTAATTATTTAGAGCATTTCTAATGAAAGGATGATGATGAGAATAGGAGATAACAAGGTGTAGAGCTGGATGAACACAGCAGGCCAAGCAGCATCAGAGGAGCAGGAAAGCTAACGTTTCGGGTCTAGACCCTTCTTCAGAAACTTCTTCAGATAGCAGTTCCTAGTATCTCTATGATGAGAATAGGTACTTCCAAAGCATCTCTCCTTCCTTTTAGAAGGAAACGGTATCTGGTATCAGGATTTATGTAAAAACTGAAATAACTTGTAACAGTAGGAAGGCAATACTTTAGAATCAGTTCCGTTTTGAGGTGAGACTTAACGACTTGACTTATAACCTTTGCTTTACCCTGTAAAAGATCCTGCAAACTATCTGCTGTTCTAAGTAGTTTATTTAAATACATGTTTCATAATAAGCAACTAATAACTAAACTAAATCATTTGACAGATGTTGAACTTGAATGGGAAAAGACTCAGTGTAAACCTAGAGAAGTGTGCTTGGATGTGGGGAAAGAGCTTGGGACTGCCACAAACAAGTTCTACAAACCTCCCTGTGTGTCTATCCACAGATGTGGAGGCTGCTGCAACAACGAGGGACTACAGTGTGTTAACATCAGTACTTCGTACGTGAGTAAGACAGTAAGTAATTCTTCCTATCAAGTCACTTTGAAATGTTGTGTAGCTTGACTTGCTTGTCTGAAATTTTTATTCGCTGTTGGTGTGTCAGAGGCATAGCAATCAAATCAATGATGTTGGCAACTCCCAGTCACACATATGTTTTATACAATTTCTTAGAATATGACTGTCACTGCCAAGGCCAGTAGTTACTGTCCATTCCTAATCGACCTCGAGAAAGGGGTGCTGAGCCATCTTCTTGAATATTGCAACCCATGTGGGTGCACCCACACTGCTGCTCAGAAGATGGTTAGGGTATTTTAATCCAGTGACTGTGAAGGAATGATGACATTATTTTGAGTCAGGATGCTGTGTGGTGTGGAGAAATTGCAGAAGATGGTGTTTCTATGTCATTTGCACCTTTTCCTTCCAGATGACATAGACCCTAGGTTTGCATGGTGCTGCTGAAGGAAACTTGGCAGGTAGCTATAGTGCACATATACTGCTAATGTTCAGCTGTGGCGGAACAAGTGAATATTTAAGGTAGTGAATGGGGTGTCAATCAAAAGAGCTGTCTTGTCTTGAATAGAGCCAGGCGTCTTGAGTGTTGTTGAAGTTGCATGCATCTAGCCAAGTGCAGAGAATTCCACCACCACCGTCCTGATTTGTGCCTTATAGGTGCTTGACAGACTCTGGGGAGTGTCGGGAGATAAATTACCTGAAGTAGAATTCCCGGCCTCTGACCTGCTTTTGTAGCCGTTTTCTTTATAAGGCTGGTCCTGTTCAGTTTCTGCTCAATAGGAACCCTAAGAAGTTGATGGTGCAGGGTTTGGTTACAGTCATGTCATTGAATGTCAATGGGAGATAATTAAATTCTCCGCTGTTAGTCACGACCTGTGCCTTTGATACTTGCTACTTTTCAATCTAATTTGAATATTGCCAGCTGTAAGCAAATGTGGGCTGCTTCACTATACAAGAAATTACAAATGGTACTGAACACTGTGCAATTATCAGTGTATATCATGACACCTAATCTTATGTTGGAGGGAAGTTATTGATGAAGATGGTTGCGTCTACGGCACTACCCCAAGGACCTCCTCTGCAAAATCCTGGGACTTAAACGAATGGTGTCAAACAATCAAAACCATCTTCCTTTGTTTTAGATATGACTCCAAACAGTGGAGAGGTTTCACTTTGATTCCCATTGACTCCATTTTTGTTTGGGCTCCTTTATGTCACACTTGGGCAAATGCTGCCTTGATGTCAAAGGTAATGACTCCCACTTCACGTCTGGAATTCAGCTCTTTTGTCTTCGTTTGGGTCAAAGCTGTAATGAGGAGTAGCCTTGCAGAAACCAAACTGAGTATCAATGAGTAGATTATTGCTGAATTCGTGCCACTTAATAGCAGAATTGACGATAGCTTGAAAATAGATCAATGGGGCAATAATTGGTCAGAATGTATTTGTTTTGCTGGATGATTTTCCATATTTTGAAGTAGATGCCAGTGTTATAACTGTACTGGTACAACTTGGCTAGCGGGATGGCTGTTTCTGAAGCATGAGTCTTCAGTATTATTATTGGCAGGCCCACAGCATTTGTCATTAACAGTGAGTTGAAGATATTACAGCACAAATCATCGCAAATGAATATGATTACGGCACAAATCATCGCGAATGAATATGATTTGGTAGCCATTACGGAGACATGGTTACAGGATGGTCACGACTGGGAGTTAAATATCCAAGGGTACCAGACTATTCGGAAGGACAGACAGGAAGGTAAGTGAGGTGGTGTAGCTCTGATACTCAAGGACGCCATCAGGGCGGTGCTGAGAGATGATATAGGTTCTATGGAGAATGAGGTTGAATCCATTTGCGTGGAAATTAGAAATTCTAAGAGGAAAAAGTCACTGATAGGCGGAGTCTATAGGCCACCAAATAATAACATCACATTGGGGCGGGCAATAAACAAAGAAATAACTAATGCCTGTAAAAATGGTTCGGCAATTATCATGGGGGATTTTAACCTACACGTAGATTGGTCGAACCAGCTCGGTCAGGGTAGCCTTGAGGAGGAGTTCATTGAGTGTATCCGTGATAGTTTTCTTGAACAGTATGTAATGGAACCAATGCGGGAGCAAGCTATCCTAGATCTGGTCCTGTGTAATGAGACAGGAATAATTAATGACCTCATAGTTAGGGATCCTCTTGGAAGGAGTGATCACAGTATGGTTGAATTTAGAATACAGATGGAGAGTGTGAAGATAAAATCCAATACCAGGGTCCTGTGCTTGAACAAGGGGAACTACAATAGAATGAGGGAGGACTTGGCTAAAGTAAACTGGAAACAAAGATTTTATGGTGGGACAGTTGACGAGCAGTGGAGGACTTTCAAAGCAATCTTTCAAAGTGCTCAGCAAAAGTATATTCCAATGAAAAGGAAGAACTGTAAGAAAAGGGGTAATCTGCCATGGGTGTCTAAAGAAATAAGGGAGGCTATCAAATTGAAAGAGAAGGCATACAAAGTGGCCAAAAACAGCATGAAACTAAAAGATTGGGAAAACTTGAAAGGTCAACAGAAAGCCACAAAAAGAGCTATAAGGAAAAGTAAGATAGTACATGAGAAAAAACTAGCACAGAATATAAAGACAGATAGGAAAAGTTTCTACAAATATATAAAACGAAAAAGAGTGGCTAAAGTAAATGTTGGCCCTTTAGAGCATGAGAAGGGGAATTTAGTTATGGGATATGATGAAATGGCCAAGGCATTGAACAGGTATTTTGTATCGGTCTTCACAGTGGAGGGCACTAATAACATGCCAATAATTGACAAAGAGACGAAGGTAGGTGAGGACCTGGAAACAATCATAATTACAGAAGAGGTAGTGTTGGGCAAGCTAATGGAGCTAAGGATTGATAAGTCTCCTGGCCCTGATGGAATGCATCCCAGGGTACTAAAAGAGATGGCGGGAGAAATAGCAGGTGCACTGGCGGTAATTTTCCAAAATTCGCTGGACTCTGGGGCAGTCCCAGCAGATTGGAAAACAGCAAATGTAAAGCCACTGTTTAAAAAGGGAAGTAGACAAAAGATGGGGAATTATAGACCGGTTATCTTAACCTCTGCAGTGGGGAAGATGCTTGAGTCTATTATCAAGGAAGAAATAGCAAGGAATCTTGATAGAAATTGTCCTGTTGGGCAGATGCAGCATGGGTTCATGAAGGGCAGGTCATGCTTGACAAATCTTTTGGAATTCTATGAAGACATTACGAGCGAGGTGGACAATGGGCACCCAGTGGATGTGGTCTACCCAGACTTCCAAAAGGCCTTTGACAGGGTGCCGTACAAGAGGCTACTGCATAAGATAAGGATGCATGGCATTAAGGGTAAAGTATTAGCATGGATAGAGGATTCGTTGACTAACAGGAAGCAAAGAATGGGGATAAATGAGTGCTATTCTAGCTGGCAATCAGTGACTAGTGGTGTGTCTCAGGGATCGGTGTTGGGACCGCAATTATTTACAACTTATATAGATGATTTGGAGTTGGGGACCACGTGTAGGGTGTCAAAGTTTGCAGATGACACTAAGATGAGTGGCAAAGCAAAGTGTGCAGACAACTGTGAAACTTTGCAGAGGAACATAGATTCATCGAGTGAGTGGGCAAAGGTCTGGCAGATGGAATACAATGTAAATAAATGTGAAGTCATACATTTTGGTAGGAGTAATAGTAAAAAGGATTATTACTTGAATGGTAAAAAGTTGCAGTGTGCTGCTATGCAGAGGGACCTGGGTGTCCTTGTGCATGAATCACAGAAGGTAGGTCTGCAGGTACAACAAGTAATTAGGAAGGCAAATGGAATTTTGTCCTTCATTGCTAAAGGGATTGAAATTAAAAGCAGAGAGGTTATGTTGCAGCTGTACAAGGTGCTGGTGAGGCCAAACCTGGAGTACTGTGTGCAGTTTTGGTCTCCTTACTTGAGAAAGGATGTATTGGCACTGGAGGGGGTGCAAAGGAGGTTCACTAGGTTGATTCCGGAGTTGAGGGGGTTGGCTTATGAGGAGAGACTGAGTAGATTGGGATTATATTCATTGGAATTCAGAAGATTGAGGGGGGATCTTATAGAAACATATAAAATTATGAAGGGAATAGATCAGATAGTAGAGAGGATGTTTCAACTGGCAGGTGAATCTAGGACAAGAGGGCATAGCCTCAAGATTAGAGGGAGCAGATTTAGGACTGAACTGAGAAGGAATTTCTTCACCCAGAGGGTTGTTAATCTATGGAATTCCTTGCCCAGTGAGGTAGTTGATGCTACTTCAGTAAATGTTTTTAAAAAAAAGGTAGATTTTTTTTGAACAATAAAGGAATTAAGGGATACGGTGAGAACGCGGGTAAGTGGATCTGAGTCCACGAAAGGATCAGCCATGATCTTATTGAATGGCGGAGCAGGCTCGAAGGGCCAGACGGCCTACTCCTGCTCCTGGTTCTTATGTTCTTATGTGATGGACAATGAGGACCCAGTAGATGTAGTGTATCTGGATTTCCAAAAGGCTTTTGACAAGGTGCCATACAAAAGGCCGCTGTATAAGATAAAGGTGCACAGTGTTACGGGCAATGTATTAGTATGGATAGAGGATTGGGTAACCAACAGGAAGCAAAGAGTGGGGATAAATAAGTGCTTTTCTGGTTGGCAAGCAGTGACTCGTGGTGTGCCTCAGAGATCAGTGCTAGGACTGCAATTGTTTATAATTTACGTAGATGATTTGGAGTTTGGGACCATGTGTAATATTTTGGAGTAGATTTGTAGCTTGGGTTGTGGGTGTTGTGGTTGGTTGGCTCACTGAGCTGGTTCATTGTTGTTCCACAGATGTTTCATTACCCTGCTGGATAACATCATCAGTGCAGCCTCTGATGAAGCGCCGTTGTGTTTTCCTGCCTGGTTTTTAAATTCTGGAGTCCGTTGAGCTGGATTACCTCACGTCTGATTTTCCTTAGCAGTGGAGTGTATATGGGGTCAAGTTCTG